AGACCTCCAAGGTCCCTTCCATCTCCGTTATACTATTCTGTTCTACGTTTTGTTGTCACGTGGGGCTGGTCTTCAGAGAAACTGGGGCTTCACACAATCCATCCGTGGTCCACTGTGGCTGGCCAGGGAAGCCGGGAGGACTGGAAGGGCTGGACGGAGGCAGGGAGGTCAAGCCGTTGACCCGATTGCTTGGTCTTCAATGGGGGGGGACCGAGACCTCCTCGGGGTGACTTCCCCTGCCTGCCCCCTTGAAAGCCCAGGCTTCAAAATACCTTCTCCAGAAAAAAGGGATGTCCAGAAGAGCTTCTAGAGAAAGGGCTGACCAGCCACCGCTTGGACACCCTTAGGGAAGGAAGTTTGTTTGGAGAATTTATTTATTTATTAGTAAAATGTATATTGCCACCTGCTCCCACGTGGCGACTCAAGGCGGCTTACACAGATATAAAACCACTCTATAAAAGGAAGAAAAATAATAACACATTCAAGCTGACCATTTGATGGGCCCCATCCTGCTCTGGGATGGAGCTCAGCCCTTCCAATGGCGCCTTCTCCAGTCTTGGGGAAAGCCAGCGGAGGATTCGGGCCCAACACTGGCCAGGCCCCGGGGGCCGCTCTGCTCCCTCCTGGTTCAGCTTTTCCTCCCGATGGGCACCCCTGGCAGGAGAGATCCAGCAGCTGCAATTGGGAAGCTGTGGATTATGGTCTACAGCTGTACGTGAACCAGACCTCAGTTGCTTGTTCAACAGCGAGGTCCATGGTGCACGGCGTTGCCGTCAATGTGCTTTGCGCAGCTCCATCTGCTGTTCCCCTCATGACCCTTCCTGGATTAGGAGGCCCTTCAGTATAATCAATCACCTGTGCCTGGGCATCTGGTAGCTTGACTACAGCAACATGCTCTACGTGGGGCTGCCCTTGGAAACTATCCTGAAATTTCCATTGGTCTAGAAGACAGCAACAGAGGTGGCGATGGGCACACCTTGGCGTGCCCATTTGGCACCCACAGTCCGTGAGGTACCCTGGTTGCTTGTGGGTGCAATTCAAGATGTTAGCTGTGATCTAGAAATCCTTATGTGGCATTGAGTCTGGATACTGGTTGCCTGTCTCTTACCGACCCCTCACCTCCAGGATATAAACGGTTTCAGCTCCTCCCCTGGGCTCTCTGCATTAGGGCATGGCAGGCCAAAATAAGAATAGAATAGAATAGAATAGAATAGAATAGAATAGAATAGAATAGAATAGAATAGAATAGAAT